AGCTAGGAGCTTGGACTCCCTGGGCTCCTTATCAGGTCTAAGGACAAAAGCCATCCCTCCTGAGATACAAGGAAAGCTTTAGTCAGAATCTTAACTAGCACTTAGTTGCTCTAAGCTGCTCTCAGAAGACTTTTGCATATCCAAGGACAAGGCAAGAAATGTGCCTAAGAAGCAGCAAAGAGATTTAGATAAGATTGGAACAAAAATGTTCCAGGAATTCAAGGTGATGAAGCTCTGGAACAGACTGCCTGGGGACTTTACAAAGTCTCCCTGCTATTGGAAGTCTGTAAGATTATATTCAACAAACATCTTCTGGAATGACAACATTATAGTGACCTTACCCAGCACAGCAACACATTAAATGACTTCCTGTTTATTTTGTTCCTCTTAGAGAGGAACCTCCTCAGCAAGCCCAAGCTCCTAAGCCTAAGCCCTAAAAGTTGGGTGGCACTGAATGCCTTCTGCTTGTTTTAAGTATATATGGCATAGTGGCTACCAACTGGAAGTAGCTGGGAAACCTACCAACACCTGAAAAAATAAAAAAGAACAAGAAAAAGAAAAAATAGTTTAAAATTGTGGACCTCTAATTACTCTATCTCCCTGCAAAGGATCTTTTTTTAAAGAGCTCAATGAAAGCTTCAAATGAAAAATGTGTACTTACGCATATGGATTACCCTCACTTTTAGCTCTAATGAACGTGACACTCTAAAAGGTACAGAGCATCACAGCTTTGACACGACAATCTGATGATCATGTCATCCTCTGTCCCCAGAACTGCATGTTCGACACGTGTAACTGTGAGAAGAGCGAGGACTGCATGTGCGCTGCCCTTTCCAGCTATGTCAGGGCCTGTGCTGCTAAAGGAGTTCTCCTCACTGGGTGGAGGAGCAAAGCCTGCAGTAAGTTCTACATCCCTTTCCCTCTTGACGATGATCATCCAGAAGGCCTCACACAGCAGCTCTCAGGGATTCCCACAGTAAATTGTGTTAAACTGTGTTTTAAGTGTAGCATTGACTTCCAAGAATTTGAGGAGGAAGGGGATACCATAAAAGACAAGTAGTAAGCAGGGAGAAAAATTAAAAAAAAAGAGGCTTTGTTAGATTACTTGCTCAGAAGCAGCAGCAACAATACTTCAATGCCTTTGCAACAGGAATAAAGTAAGTGGGGTGTTTCTCAATTTACTTTGCTAAAAAATTCAAAAATAGCAATTAAGGAAAAACACACTATGCCTTAATATAATTGAACCTTTTTCTTTTTTTTTTTTTTTTAACCTGGACAAAACATTTGTATCCATGGTACATTTATAGGTGAAAATTCTGTCCTAGCCAATACAAAAAAAAAATTAACACTGTTGAGGACATCAGTAAAGCACATGCACATACATTGCCATGTTTATCATATATATTTTACATCAAATACCACATTTATACCTACTTTGATTCTTAAATGAACTACAAATGTAACTCACTTTTTTACTCTCAAGCAAAATACACCACCTTGTGTCCGAAATCCTTGAAGTACACTTACAATGTCGATTCCTGTCAACCCACCTGCCGGTCTCTGAGTGAGCCTGATGTCACATGCAGCACTAAGTTTGTCCCAGTTGATGGCTGCACCTGCATAAGTGGAACCTACATGGATGAAAGTGGCAAATGTGTGCCTGCTTCTAGCTGTCCTTGTTACTACAAAGGAACGCCTCTGTCTTCTGGAGAAGTTGTTCACGATAACGGTGTTGTCTGGTAAGACATTTGTAAACAAAATAATTAAATTGGACGTAGGCAAGCATGAAATCATATACACATTATGCAATCTATTCAAATCAAATGCATTTCTCTCCCTAATAATTTCAATACAAAGAAATTACAGATCCTTAAAAATCGTTAGGGCTATCCATGTTTGGAATATTGTACTTAGACTACTATAGGATTTCAACAAATCATACTGTGGCTAACAGCCAAACTCCCACCCAGTCAAGTCACTCACTCACTCCCCACCACACATACTTTTCTTATCCATGACTGTAAAACGCTTGTTTCATGGTGAAAGATGCTTAATAATCCCTTTACAGATTATTCCCATTGTGAGCGGAATTTGAACTGTTCTGAAAGACAGTTTTTAAGCAGGCAAATGGACAGAGCAAACCTGTCTTTATATAGAACGTGCTTGTATTTTGGTTTGCTCTAATATAAAATATCTTTGAATAGTACAAACTATTCTGATAAAGAACACATTTTCTCTGTTTTATCACACAGTAATTTTTCTTTATTTCAAATTCACTAGGAAACAAGCTAGAACTTAACAAGAAAAAGCAAAAACATATCCATTTGCTTTTTTTTTTTTTAATAGTACCTGCACCTATGGAAAGCTGAGCTGCATTGGCGAGAAACCTAAAGCTGGTAACATATCACTTAAGATTGTCTTTAATTCTCCCTTTCCATCTTCACTCTTTTCAGTTCTCTATATTTTGGTCATATTGATGCAAATTGTACAAGGCTGAAATCAAACAAGAAATGAACTGATGATTTCTGTAACGTACAGGATATCTCCAAAATATAAAGAAGCACTGTTTTACCTTTCAGATGGCTGTAACAAGTTATGACCCCCTGGGTTACCTAGGGGAAAAGAATACTTGATCATCTCACTGAAAATGAGGAAAAGAACATTGACATTTTAAATAAAATAAAAGTACAAAAAGCCTAAAAAACCACAAAGTAAACCAAGATCTTTGTTTTCTCGGTTTTTGGTTTTGGTTTTCTTTTTTCTGAAAGGAAGTGTTTCACAAAACTAACTAAACATTCATTTCTATGACAAGTCAAGCATAATCACAAAAAACAGATTAGCATGACTTCAAAACAATATCCAGTTTCTCTTTCTATTCAAATGCATTACATTAAGGTACGCATATCTCACAAAGGAGTCTTTTATTTTTTTTTCTTTTTTTTTTCTTCAGTCTGCATTAAGAAAACACAAAGACATAAATAAATGGTTGATCTTTCATTTCTCGTGGCTTTTCTCTCTTTCAGTCTGCATACCTCCCATGGTCTATATTGACTGTGGCAATGCCACCACAGATGTGGTAGGAGCAGGATGCCAGAAGAGCTGCCAGACTCTAGATATGGAATGTGTAAGTATACACTCTTTATACCCAGTTGAAAGCGTATTAAACTACATCTCTTTATCAATTACCAGCTGCAGCTGGACTCTTCCATCAGGGAAATGTTTCAAGTCGTGTTTTCTATATGGTCCTTACAGTACACAACCCACTGTGTCTCTGGCTGTGTATGTCCTCATAATCAAGTGTTAGATGGCAAAGGTGGCTGTATAGCTCCAGAAGACTGTCCATGTGTTCACAATGAGAATTCCTACAGTCCAGGAGAATCAATCAGAGTTGGCTGTAACAACTGGTAAGAGCATATTGAAAAATATAATTTTCAAGCATCTGAAATAGAATAGTTTAAGCTCTAGGTGAATTACAGCATTTCACTCTACCAGTATCAAGATTTACAGGAAGGAATCCTATGTAAGATGATCCACTTAGTACCTAAAAAGCAAGTTCTGTCTGTTTTTTTACAATGGCACACAGCACAGAAATTGCAAGTGGGCAGAAGAACAATACGGTTTGGATGTTGTTGTATTCATTCCAGTCAAGAAAGCTTTTTTTGTTGCAGGCAACCCCTGCATTTCAACACATTCAACAAGATTTGGAAATGTGAAAGACTTGAAGTGTTTTCTAACCCAAACTATTCATGACATCAAGAAGTAACACAGCCTTTGGGTAATCCCAAACGCTCTTGAGCTATGCTGTATTTCTGAGAATAAGCAAACCTTATTTTTTCATTATAGCATTAACACATTTTAAAATCAGATTGATGCACATGCAGAAATGTACATATAGCTATATCGTGTGCATGTCTGTTTTTTACATTTGGAGTGCTTCTCGTCTTATGTAGCACATGTAGAAACAGAAAATGGCACTGCTCCAAGGAACCTTGCCTGGAAACCTGTTCTGTTTATGGAGATGGGCATTACACCACCTTTGACGGCAAACGCTTTGATTTTGAAGGAGACTGTGAATATGTTCTGATCCAGGTAACAGAGTCCTTCCCAGATTTTTGCACTATTGAAGTTCCTTGTATTTTACATATGACTGTGAAGCACAGTTAACACTGACTATCATTCCCCTGTGTCAGAACTACTGTGGTCAACAAGGTATGAATCAGGGAACCTTCAGAGTCATCACTGAGAACATTCCATGTGGCACTACGGGAACCACCTGCTCTAAGTCTATTAAAGTTTTCCTGGAGGTAAGCACTTTCTTTAGTATGTTGTACCCCAGGCCCAATGTGCCAGAAGGACGGAACAAGCTGTCCCAGATGGAGGACACTTCTATGATTCAGTCTAAGACAGTGAAAATGTTACTTCTTTGCTCACTGCTAACAATTCTGGTCTCCACTAGAGAAAGCAAAGGAGGGAATTCTAAAGAGAAATTGCTTAACATGAGGTTGTTGAATAGAATAATTTTGATTATAATAGGGTTATTATTTCAATAACAGTCACTGGCAATATATAAAAATGCACCCAATAGATGAGTTTTTTAACGGACCTCTAACTTTCTATTTTCCTGTCCTAGAACTACGAGCTGGTACTCAGTGACGGACACTCTGATGTCATCCAGAGGGCACCTGGAGGAAAAATGCCATTTCAAATCCGTTCCATGGGCATCTACCTGGTGGTTGACACTACTGTTGGCCTGATACTCATGTGGGACAAGAAAACCAGTATATTCATCAAACTTAGCCCCCACTTTCAGGTACATTTTAAAATCCAAAACCTATATAAAACGATTTCTGAAACATATCCATGTTATCGCTCAAAGAAAAAAAATGGAAATTTAGGCTGTAACTGGAAGACTGAAAGAGCAGCAATTTCATATTATTATGCTTGTAGCGTTGACTTAGATTGTGTACTACACGTTTTCCTTAAATTACATTACTGAGCAACGGCATAACAGCAACTACCATCAGTAGCTTTCTTCATGAAAAGCCCTCATTGAAGAGGTATGTTCGGGATTAGATCAAACTAATCAGCTCAATACCAAGAACAAAAACTGTAAGTCTACTCTGCTTCCTATCCTTGTCCTTCCTAACAACAAGCTAGAGATGTCTCTTCTTGAAAGGTATTTTACGAAAATGTCTAAGACTGCTACTGAAGAGGTCCAGATAATCTTAAATATGATTTATCCTGAGGTCTGTTACTCACAGATACTGAGAAACTGTACCTTACTGACCTTTGTCATTTTGTGTTTATCTCCATGCAGGAACACGTCTGTGGACTTTGTGGAAACTATGATGGCAATGGAAATAACGACTTCACTACTCGCAGTCAGTCTGTGGTAGGAAATGTGCTGGAGTTTGCCAATAGCTGGAAGGTGTCTTCTAGTTGCCCAAATGCCAAGCGTATGAAGGATCCATGCACTGCGAACCCATACAGGAAAGCCTGGGCACAGAAGCAATGCAGCATCATTACCAGCCAAGTGTTTGCAAAGTGTCACTCCCAGGTATGACAAAAACTTCAGTCTTAAACTCTCTTGAGCTAGAGATCACACTAATTTTTATATGGGATAGCTGAAAAATACATTAAAATACACTTTGACATTCTTGACAAGGCAAAGTCAGACCAAGTTCCAGGGAGACTGCATAGGAAGTATTTTCACTTTCATTTTCTCAGCTTCTGCCTTCTGCACACTAAAGAAATTGGTAGTTGGGATTTTTTTTTTTAATAGAAGGGACAACCACAGATAAATCTCAGGATATGTTTATTTTCTAACAGAATAATTTTCCACTATTACAAATATCAGCCACCTGGTATATATGACTGTGTGCTAGCTTGTAGTAATGTACAAGTATTCTTTCTGCAAATGTATCTTCAACATCAAATAGCATTTCAGCTTATAGTAATAGCTTTATTCTACATTTTCCTCTTGATTTTTCAAAGCATTTTCATGACTTCTTCCTTTCCTATCTTGCTCATACCTACAGAGTTTTCAGTCCCAGATATTTTATTCAGCCTTTTTAGGACAGTGAATGCCTTTTCAAAAAGGACAAGTGCAAGGAAACTCAAATGTTCTCTCCAACAGGTTGAGCCAAACGAATATTACCAAGCATGTGTGGATGATGCTTGTGCCTGTGACACAGGAGGAGACTGTGAATGTTTATGTACAGCAGTAGCTGCCTATGCTCAAGCATGCAATGAGCTGGACATCTGCGTTTCATGGAGAACCCCATCCATTTGTCGTGAGTTTCACTCTACTACTTTTTGAAGGGGTCCAGAGGGAAAGAAAACAGATAAGAAAAAAAGAAAAATAAATAGAATGAAGAAAGAAAAAAGGATAAAATTGTATCTGTAAAAGGCACTGCTATATTCTAAAAAAAGGAAAAAAAGCACACAGCAAGTTGGGTGAATCACAGGAAGCCAATCTACCTTCTTAAAATGAAACTGCTGACAGTGACTTTACCAGTGGTGTCATTAGTGTTTGATTTACTTGTCAATCATGATAGACAACTGGTGAACTATAATATTATACTCCCACCTGTCTACATCAGGCTCAGCGTAAGTATTAGTGTATAGTAGTTAAAATCAGGATTCAATTAGTTGATTTTTCATGCTTAATGTGTAACTGTTCTACGCTTTATAACTTTATTGGTGTTAAAACGTGGTAGAAGTGTAACAATTGTATTAGATTAGAAAAGAGACAATATACTGTTCACCACCCATATGATTATGCTGATTACGTGGGATTTTTACCCAGCAAAACTAAAAGACTGTAGAGCAAAAGGATCACAGATCTTTTTCTGTCATTTCTCCTTCCTCTAGCTCTCTTCTGTGATTATTACAATCCACAAGGGGAATGTGAGTGGCACTACAAGCCATGTGGAGCCCCTTGTATGAAGACCTGCAATAATCCAAGTGGGAACTGCCTTCATGAGTTGAGAGGTTTGGAAGGTAAACATAATTATGCATATCTCATTCTACTTACAAAAAGCTAAAATGCAATATGTGTAACAAAATTTGTATTATTCAGTAAATCACACGTTCATATTAGAAACTTTAAGAACAGATTTTCTAATTAGTATCTTACTCCATAATAGACCATGACCTTGTTTTGAGTGAAGACGACAACAAAATGCCCCAAAGCTTAATTGCAATCAAAGGAATAGCAGTAACAGTTTGAAATTCCACTTACCATATGGGATACTTTGGGGAAAGCAGATATAAGCAGAATATAGAGTTACTTCTACTTGTGAAAGGCCTAGTGTCAACATACCTTTCATTTTCTATTTCAGGCTGCTATCCAAACTGTCCAAAGAATAAACCCTATTTTGATGAAGAAACCATGACTTGTGTTTCTAATTGTGGTTGTTACGAAAATGGAAAAAATTACAAACCAGGAATGCAGATGCCTTCAAAGCAGAATTGTCAATCATGGTAGGATTAGTAAAGATTTTTAAACATTGAGTTTAAAGTTATGCAACATAATTCATCATGCATTAAATTTTTTATTTGCCAACAGGAACTAGGCCAGTCATAGGCTGCTGAATAATGTCTAATTTTCTTCCATTCCCAGGAACATTTTACCATAGAGAGATTAATTTACTATTTATTCTACATTCTTACTAAAGTACTTTTACATTATTGTTATTATCATCATTAACTTAAGTAAAAACAACTTCAAATAATAATGGTTACGGCAATAGTCTGAGAATTTTTATTAAGGTATCCCTAAACCCATTATGTGAAATTATTTAGAAGTTAGTAGGCAACTAATTTTCATTGGTTTGAGCTTGTTTGTTATTGAACTGGTACTTGTGTATTTGCAACAGTCAGCAAGTATTCCCATGCATTCTGTCAGAACTGTTGACATGTTAGGACAAGTGCTGCTAATCCTTCTATCAAGCAGCACAAAGTTAGCAGAACCAGTTGTGAATCAGTTAACACCTGTCCTAAGATACCTTTAAAGTAGCTACACTCGAAGACTGTAAGCAGTGCAATAAGAATGGCAAAGAGCTTAGCACGAAGCCCATCTGAGCTAACCCAACTTTCATGGCATGTCTTGCAGTTCATAGACAGCTTTGCCTGCACCATCTATTTAGTTTAACAGCACTAAACCTAACCTGTTAAATACACACCTATATTTACTTAAGTTTATTCAGTGTACAGATGCCCTTAGTCACTGTGAACAAATATATCAAGATTCAGTTCTTAACAGGTAACAGATAAATTCCCCTTAAAAACAGAATACATTCTTGCATCTTTTGAAAGTCTGATGGAAATTTGCTGTGCAGACAACCTCAACATCCATGATACAGTGATCCTTTCTCAAATGATACATTTACTACACTTTCCCTTCCAAAAAAATAAGTATACCTATCAGGAAGACAAGAACATTTCAAATCACCCCTCCCCACATCTTTGCCCAGCCCCCAAAAGCACCAATAAAGATAATGCATTTTTAATATGCTGGCATAAGAGAGTTGCCTTTCTTGCCAGAAAACTCAAGTGATCCTACCTAACCTGAATTTGTACAGCAGAAGTGAACATCTAACTCAGAGAAGATAGGGTCTTTCTACATTTAAACATATAATGAATAGAAAAGGATTGATAGAAAAAAATCAAACAATATGATGTCATGAATCAATATATTCACATTCATCATCTCCTTTTTTCTCTTTTCCAGTGAATGCACAGATCATGGCATAAAATGCAAATATGATGAATATGGTATGTTGACAAAGTTGGTTTTATCTGAATAGGATGCATTTGAAATACTCTGTGTTTCAGATATCAAGGGATAACACTCTCTTTTGATTTACAGAATGTGTCTGCATTTATGAGGGACAGAATTACAGGTATAAAGATGTGGTCTACAATACTACAGATGGCACAGGAGGTTGTATTGTCGCAACCTGTGGTCCCAATGGAACAATTCAAAGGGTTATCTATGAGTGTCCAATCTCAACATCACCCACAACAGGAACACCATTTCACTTCAGCACTACACCGCCTGCCTCTACTTCCACAGGTACATCTTTTGTAACCTGTAAGAACGTATTCTGTTCATAGTATCTATGAATCCTGATGCATAGACTAAATATTATTCTTTCCACTGGGTTTGAATAGGGCTTTGACATTGCAGAGAGACTACTAAATATTGAAGCAAGATATGAACCAATCAATTACACTGAATCAAATGCAAAAAAAGTGAGGGGCTTTTTTTCCTCAATGTGTATAAATGATGCCTAAGACTTCTTTCAGCAGTTTGTAAAAGATAATTAGCATTCTCTAGGGAAGTGACAGTTTCAAGCACGTCAGTACATTAAATTCCTGAGTGATGGATTATCTATTCTACCTAATTTAAAATAAAACTACAATAAATTGATGCACTACAGGCTCACAAAGCAAGCAAATGACCTTACGAAAATTTTCAGCTCAATTAATATAGTAAAACAGAATATCTACAGGATTTTTTCTAAGTTTTGTGGTCTCTTTCTTTTTCACAGTGTCACCAACTACATCAGTATGTGTTCATGAAGTCTGTGAGTGGTCAGAATGGTATGATGGGAATCTGCCAACCCCTGGCTACAATGGTGGAGATTTTGAAACCTTGGATGATTTGAGAGCTAAAGGTTATGAAATCTGTAAAGCTCCAAAAGATGTTCAATGCAGAGCAGAGAAATTCCCTAATATACCACTGAAAGACCTTGGCCAAAAAGTAGAATGCAGTAAAACAGCCGGTCTTATATGTTACAACAAAGACCAAATTTCAACAATGTGCGACAATTATGAAATCAGAATCTTATGCTGTGTCTTTGTACCATGCTCTTCCACACCATATATCAGCACATCGACACCGATCACAACTACAGCTAAGAGCACAGAAACAACAAGTCCAACTGAAGAAAGTACATCATTTTCAACAACAAAAACATCACCACTTACTACAACTTCTGAGAGTACAACTGTAATGACAACACCTGTCACTACTTCTCTGTCAACAACTCCCTTTTGCATTAAAGAAGAATGCCACTGGTCAATGTGGTATGATGCGAGTTACCCAGGGTCTGGGTACAATGATGGAGATTTTGATACAATTGAGAATATTAAAAAGAAGGGATACAAAGTCTGTGATAACAGAAAGGCTGTTGAATGCAGAGCAGTAAGGTTTCCTAATACACCATATCCCCTCCTGGAGCAACGTATCACATGTAACACAGAAGAAGGTTTAATATGTTACAACAAAGACCAACTACCACCCATATGCTACAACTATAAACTAAGATTTCAATGCTGTACAAATATAACAGTGCCATGCAAAACAACTTCGCCTATCACACCACCAAAATCAGAAACAACGTCGACTTATTTAACAACATCAAGTACATCGTCCACAGAAGTATCAACCAAACATCAAACAACACCATCAACAACGCCGCCGAAACCACAGCCTATACACAGCACCGGTACACCACAATCAACAACAAGCATCCCAACTCAAACACAGACTACACTGATGTCCAGTCCCAGTACACAAACACCTAAAACCACTGTCACACCCTCCACATCCACGACCCACTCCCCCACCACCCTGCCCACCTCCT